CTACTGCTCAAAAAATGCTTCAAAAAATGTTTTTTCAGGATTATATTTTAGACAGTTCATTCAAATGATAAAATGATAAGACATTAATTCATTATATTTTGACAAAATGCAATTTTTGCAGACGTTTAAATCAAAACCTGCCTATTTCTCCACATCTCACTTTTGGACTTAATCCTCGTTTCGATGTGTTGGGTCACATATATTGTACTTTAGTTAGTTTCATTTAAAATGCAACACATTACAATAACTGCAAGTTTTCTTAAAGTTTCTAAACTAATATTTAAAAAAATATTTTATCAATTTCATTGTATATAATCCTCGTTTCGATGTGTTGGGTCACATATATTGTACTTTAGTTAGTTTCATTTAAAATGCAGCACATTACAATAACTGCAAGTTTTCTTAAAGTTTCTAAACTAATATTTAAAACAATATTTTATCAATTTCATTGTATTTAGTGATTATTTTAAGATCAGGTTCCTGTAAACTTTCACACATTTCTAAACTACTTCCTCTTAATCTATGCTCTGAAAATGAATRAACTTGAGTGCATTTTATTTATTTCTGTTTACCTAAATAAACCAGACAGTAACAGACTTTATAACATCTTGTTTGTGTTGAAACGATTTGATTTAATGAAGCAGATTCAAGGTTTGCTGATGGTTTCAGATGAAATCTAAAGGTTTCCTGTCAAACGGTCGACAATGCTAAAGAGGGAAAAAGATTGCCAACACAATACAAACTGTGTTTGCTGTTAAATATTATGAATAAATGACATTTTATCTTTGTAGCAGTCATGATGTGTTCTATTCACTTTAGCTGTTTTTACAGTCGAGCAGTTAAAACCTACACTAATTAAACACGTCTGAATTTAGAAGCTTTCTGGTGAGTCATAGCATCATCTAACACACTTTTCTCTTAATTCACAGTGATTGTGTTTAAACCGGGCTTCAGCCTCGACGTTGGCGTCGTCTGAGTTTCATCTCCTGCAGACTTCCACACAGGTAGGATTACTGACTTCTAACTTCACGATCTGAGCAGCAGATTATTTAAACTCACTTGTTCTGGTGAATTACAAACGTTTTTTKTGTAATGCAAAGCCTGAGCTCCAGCCTGCAGACATGATGGTGACATATTAAAGCACACAACAGAGTGCAGCTCCTCGTAATCATATTCACACAACGCAGGGAGGAAAAGTTGCTTTGCGTGTTGGGAGCTGAATATAAAAACAAAGTAATCTTCCTTAGCACACCGCCTCTGTAATTTCTCATTATTCAGCTCATCTTTTAATTAAAACTTGTCTCTGCAGGTTTTTAAACGCTATATTGACTTAAGTTACAAACCACTGGACAACAAAGAAATCCTCATTTTTCTTCTTTTGCCATTTGGTGTAATGAGCCACCGTTCCCTCGTCCCTCTGCACCGAGGCTGCTGAAAGACAACTGAACAGGCTCGTTGCAATGATAATCTTGTGTGTGTCTGCACTTATGGAGAGCATCTTGAAGCATGTCAGACTTGCATCAAAGCTGCTGTTGTAATTTTCKTTTTCAAGGGCAACTTRAAAGAGGAGTCGGAAGGAAGAGAAGTCGCATTAGTTTCTTGTTTTCTCCGACGAGGCAGCCGCTTCGGAAAGTAACCCCGCGCTTTCCGAGGGGAGTGTAGGATGATTCAGCAGGAAGCCCATCTGACTGATTCACGTTTAAACATAAACAGAAATATGGCCGCTCGGTGTGTGTGTGTGATGCTTCTCTGCAGAATAGAGAGAGAAGCTCCAACAGTCCCAGCAGCAAATCAAAAGTCTTTTTATTGAACTTWTTGTTTCCCCTTCCTTTACGACGACTCGTGTTTCTGTAACGGCGCCTGCTGATTGGCCTTACAAGAAACACGTACCCCGACAGGAAAAAAAAAACAAAAATATAAAACTGGAGCAGAGATTGTCACACAGGGATTGAATGTGGTTCTTCAGAAGAGGAGGGCCTGAGAGGATTATATGGCTCAGTGGGCGCTGTATTGTRCAGGGAGTGGATACTGCAGGTACCCACCGAACCCCGGCCAACACACACGCACTGTTGCTAGGGATAATGTTGCCTCCCAGCAATTAAACTCTGGAGGTTTTCAAGTGGTTTAGGAAGGAGCTTGTTAAATTATCTCATCGCTCCTTTCACCCGTTCTTCTCTTATCTCTCTGYCTCTCTGTTAACCAGATTTCTGCCCTTTTTTTTGCTGCTTTGCTCAATGAAAACCTGAAACTATAGGGTCTAGTTCAATCATATTTATTTTTAGATGTGAAGAGAAGCTGCTTGAACATCCTTCAGTGTAAAGAAATGCTTAAAAAATGCCAAAAGCTGCCAGATGATGGCACCTTTGATTTATAAACAGCCTGATTTCAGTAAAACAAGACAATGAAGAGCTGAAGTGGTCATAGCTGGTGTCATGAGCTTCTTGTGTTTTTCACTTTAGTTGCAGAGGCTGGAAGCAAAAGTTAAAGATGATTTTAGGTGAACTTCATGAAGAAATCAGAACAAAACAGCTCTTGTTTGCATTGTTAAACAGAATCTGTGTTTCTCACTGGTGCAATTAGCTTTTAAATAAATTCAGAAGTTTGTTTTCCCACAAATAAAAGCTCTTTGCTGAATCTTCCACATCTTTTTAAAGCTCAAGTATTTGTTACGTTTGTATCAGAACAGTTTGCAAAAAAAAGCAAAACAAAAAAATAAAAAACAAACAAAAAAATAAAAAACAACACAAAAAAAAAACACCAATCCTTCATGTGCTTCCTGAGCTCTGCAGCAAGGAGCAGCTGAAAGAAAAACAGCAGTTTAGACTGAAATGAGGTGCAATAATCCATGTATCTGTATGAAACTGTTCAATACACACTATGCATGGAACAATACACACTATGTATGGAATAATGCGCACTATGTATGGAACAATACACACTATGTATGGAATGTGCTTCCTGAGCTCTGCAGCAAGGAGCAGCTG